GCCGCGGGCGGGCCTGGGGGTGTCACTGGGCGGGGCTCGCAGGAGCAGGAAGGCCCCCCTCAGCCTCTGCTCATAGGGGAGTCTCCACCTGCACGTGACCATGACAGGAGAGCTCAGACACCCGCTGAGTAGCTGCTAATGAATGTTCTAGAACCCTCCGTTCCCGCTGGCAGTTTGCATAGAGCGGAGCCTTGCTCTGCATTGAACAGCCACTGAGATGCGTGTGCAGACGGCACGGGGAGGGACAAGAACGCGCAGTGGCGCAGGCACGTGCACAGGCCCCGCCCTGCGCGGGGGGAGCACATTCATTAGCAGCCGCAGCCGGTGCCCCCGCCTTTTGGTTGGCCCCCCTCCCCTTTCTGTTCGCACCATGTACGCCATCAGCGACATGTAATAAAGACATTCCCCATGATGCCATGTGCTGTCCGTTTATTTGCTGTATGTCTTTTTCTGTTGGTTGCTTGCATTTTTAGGAAAAATCCATTCCATGTTTTAATTCTGATTTAATGCTTTGTTTTTCCTTTGTGACTTTGATTTAAGATTGGAATTACCTCAATGCAAAGGGTTTAATATGTGCTTTTTAGAAACAGAGATGAAGGGGGTTACAGGTGAGTTTTCTTTCACAATTTCTTTTTCTGTTTTTAAATATTATCCCTCAACTCCAATTACAAAGCCTGTTTATGGGTACATTTCCAGTTGTAAGCCAAGGAGACAGCATTTTAGATGCCTGAGCCTGTGAAGTTGCCTGCCCGCGTGGTGCAGTGGTGCCCACACACTGCGGCCACAGAGACCACCAGACAGGACTGGTCCTGTCCTGTCCCAGAGCACGGGGTCTGCCATGCCCACAAGCAGTTAGATAGGGTTTCCTGCCTCCTGGTCAGGGAGACGGCAGTTCCTACGTAGATCATGTCAATCAGACCCTGAGGCCTGCAGGCGGAGCAGGGCCTTGAGTTAAGCAGCTTGCCTGCCTGTCAATCCATGTTCCTGACTTGGCCACACCCATGTGCTTGCATGTGGTCTGGTTGCCTTGGCAACCATGGCAGGAGGAGGGGCAGAGAGGAGTAGAGGCTGGTGAGGAGGTTAGAGAAGGTGCATTAAGCCAGCAGGATGGGGGTTCCGTGTCAGGGTCAGGGCCAGGATCACAGTAAAGTCAGCTCTGCATGTGAACGGTGATCATCCTTTTACATTATTAATCTAAAGCATGGTCACAGTAAAGTCAGCTCTGCATGTGAACGGTGATCATACTTCCTTTTACATTATTAATCTAAAGCATGTGAGTGATAGCCAATAAATGGGAAAGTAAACCCCCAACTTCATTCCCATCAACCACAGCAAGAGGTTGGAATTTATTTTTCCCACTTGCTTTTGTTTTGAAAATGTAGGTAGGGGTGGAATCATGCTCTTAAAACTTATTTTATTTTCTATTTATTTCACTGACATGTGTCATGACGGGTCATTTTTTTACATAGCTCGCATGATTATCATTTACAGTGAATAAATGATAGTCCACTCCGCTGTACATTTCATTATTTTCCTAGTTTGCTATGATAGAGCCTTGATTCTGTATTTTTCAGATTCATTGGCATCTTAAATGAGGTGAGGGTCTGGCGGGCACTGCAGGGTGTAGTGCTAGGATGACAGCCTCTGACCATCAGAACGAAAGGAGCTGATAGCAGGACCACTGAGGGATCTTACTATTGACTAATAAACAGCCAAAAAAGGAAGCTTGTAGTTTTACCTGGAGTTTCTCTGGAGGGAAAAGTTTTCTATTTATTTACTTGTTAAACTTTTTTTGCACATTCATGGTGAGGGTCTTTTTTGCCAGTTCAGATGAGCACGAAGGACTGTGTCTTGGCAAAACCATGCCATGCTTTGACTTGCAAAAGCTTCTGTTTCTCATGCAGTTTACTAAGTCCACACTTTTCCAGAAGTTTGAGAACTTGTGAGGGTGCCAGGTGTTAGATCAGGGACTTGGGTGCAAGATTGGCGAGGTGCCCTGTGATGGAAAGAGCACCGACAGCTGGGGCATCGCGAGGTGACACCATGACCTCTGCCCTCTTGTTCCACAGGCATTTGTTCCCCTTCACCATTGACATCAAGTTGGTCCTTGTGCACAGTGATGTCTTCTCAGCCTAAATTTAGGGTCAGGAGAGAACTGTGCTTAAACTTCCAGTCCGTCCCATTAGAGAAAGAGTGGAGGTAGCTGGCGCTTTTATAGAGAATCCTCACTAGTTACCTAAAATGTACTCAACGTGGGTTTGGGCCAGGAACTGCATTTTATTGTGGGTTTTACCGTGCTCATTGGACTGTCTTTACATAATTTTTAAAAAAATATTGCACATCAGACATGGGAACACACAATCATGCTTGTCTCAGGACACACCTGGGGTGATGGGAGAGAAGCTAGAATTAAATGGGGTGTAGATGCTAGAATTAAAGGGGTTGGAGCCGCGTCGACAGGGGGAAGCAAGGTTATGGAGGAAGGATTTTTATGAACAATCTGGTGTCAGACTGTTAAGGTGAGGTGACTTGGCATGAACTGGGGCCAGAGCACAAAGCACTTGTAAGAGCAAGACAGTAGCTGCAGAATGAGAGCTAAAGCCTTCATTGGGACCCTGGGCAGCTGCAGGGTGAAGAGTGGGTGGGGGGTGGAGAGATGAGGGAGGCAGCAGGGACCATGCACAGTGGCAGGTAAGGGCTCTGGGGATGATGTACACTCAGGCCCACACCGTATTGAAGGTGAGCGGGAATTGGGGTTTGCTGGGAGCCTGGGGCTGTGGGGTGTTTGAGGGGTGCCTTTTCCAGTGATTTTCGAGCCGAATGGATGGCGGCAGCTCGACCCCGCTTTCCTCTGCAGGCGCCCCCTCTGCCGGAGCTCCTGCCAGCTTGCTTGTGCGTAGCAGAGCCCGCGTCACCCCTTTGTCTGTAGCCTCCCCTTAGGTCTCGGATCCCACACTTTCCTGTGCACGTGGACGTGGAGGCACCGCAGCCATGGTGAGCCTGGCATGGGCAGGGGGTGGGGTGGGGAGGGCACCGCGAAGGTCAGCCAGAGCCTGGGCAGCTGCTGCTAGACTCTAACAGGGAGAGGGTCTATCTAGAGAGACGGGGGGTGGGTCTCTCCCCAAAGGGCCACAGAAGGTGCTGGCATATTAGTGAGATTTCAGAGAAACCTCTGGGGAAGGGGCTTTAATCACATGCGACGAGGATGGCCTTAAGGCAGTGGTTCTCAACCTTCCTCATGCCCCGACCCTTTAATACAGTTCCTCATGTGGTGGTGACCCCCAACTTCATTGTTACAAATTGAACATCATTAAAGCCTAGTGATTCATCACAAAAACAATATGTAATTATGTGTTTTCCGATGGTCTTAGGCGACCCCTGTGAAAGGGTCCTTTGACCCCAATGGGGTCGCGACCCACAGATTGAGAACTGCTCCCTTAAGGGAACCCAAGAGATGGGGTGGGGGTGGCAGTGCCTTGCGTGACAGGAGGGCGCTGTGACCAGGTGCAAAGCTGCAGGAGGAAAGGCCCTGGGAGGAGAGTGAGGAACCAGTGCCTTTGGCTGCCGGTTAGAGGTTGGGTCAGGATGGGGCAGGGCAGAGGCAGGGTCTGGGGAGGAGGGTCCTCAGCAAGAGGGGCCCAGTCCACATGGGGAAGGTCAGGGGAGACACAGGAAGGAGGGGAGGCAGCTGTGGACAAGACGCACCCCTGTCCCCGCAGACGGTGGGCAAGAGCAGCAAGATGCTGCAGCACATCGACTACCGCATGCGCTGCATCCTGCAGGACGGCCGCATCTTCATCGGCACCTTCAAGGCCTTCGACAAGCACATGAACCTGATCCTCTGCGACTGCGACGAGTTCCGCAAGATCAAGTAAGGCCGCTTTCTCACGGGCACGGGTGCCGGCGTCTCTCTTTAATCCTGCGTTGCTGTCAGAGAGGAGGGGGGAGAAATAGGAGGAAACATCCCTGGTCATCATTGATCAGCTGCCCCCGCACGCCCTGACCTCCAGGGTCGGGTGGACCTCAGCCAGGGAGGCGCACCAGCCAGACACTGTCTCTCTGTCCTCTCTGCTCAGAACAGGGACCATCCACCCACAGTGAGTCCTCTGGAGGCCACTGTCTGTCCAGCTTCCTCTGCTCCGTGGGAGGAGCCTGGGGGCCTCTCCCGTAGGAACACCCTGCAGTCCTGGCCCCCATTTCCATGGCCCTTTGTGGGGAAGGGGAGGCCAGGATGTCACGTGGTTGATCGGCCTCTTTATTTGTTGGCCTCGGTGCTCATTACTGTCCCCTTCCTTCTTGGTCACCTATGAAGTTCAGTTAAAAGGGATTTTAAGAACCTCCCGTCGTAACACGAACAGTGAGGCTTTCATTGCCTGACAGTCTTAGCCCAGTCAGTTGCGTCTCTCCCACAGAGAAGGGTCTGCGTGTTGTTTCTTTGGTTAGTCCTCTTTTTGAGAGCGCGCGCTCGGGCCCGAGGTGCCTAAGACAGACTCCGGTTCACAGGCCAAAGAACGCCAAGCAGCCCGAGCGAGAAGAGAAGCGGGTGCTGGGCCTCGTGCTGCTGCGCGGGGAGAACCTGGTGTCCATGACTGTGGAGGGGCCTCCCCCCAAAGACGTAAGGACAGAGCAGGGCAAGCAGACGGGTGCGGACAGGGGTGGGGACAGCACAGGGTGCGCTGCTCTACCGAGCACAGCAGGCACAGGGGGTCCTAGGCCCATGTGCCCCATCTGACTGCACGCCTGGTGGTGAACACGGAACTGCTGGGTGCCCAGAGATAAGGGGGCTGCTGTTTGCTGTCCCGGGGCAGCCCCATAAAATAGCACCTTTTGATGGATCAGCAGCTCAGCTGCAGGTGCCTGTGGTGTCCTTTAACTGGACAGGAGACTGAGGGTGGGAAATAGGAGGATGCCAGGGGTGATGGGGGGATGGCGTGGCTCTGGTGGTCCCTTGACTTCAAGCTATTCCTGGTTTCAGACTGGCATCGCTCGCGTCCCCCTGGCTGGGGCTGCAGGAGGCCCTGGGGTTGGCAGGGCGGCTGGCAGAGGCGTCCCAGCTGGCGTTCCTATTCCACAGGCTCCTGCAGGACTAGCAGGCCCTGTCCGAGGGGTAGGGGGACCTTCCCAGCAGGTGAGGAAACAAGAGGTCTGATGCTCTGGGGGCCGTGCCCAGAGCCAGAGGAGTGGGCAAGAGCTCAGACAGGGCAGCCGCAGTGAGGAGCTGCCACAGGGCCCGTGCGGTGGGGGCGTGTGCGATAGAGGCGGTGCTGGCGCTGGAGCAGTGTTCTAACCCGTGAATGGGACTTGCACGAAGGGCTGTGGGTGTCAGACAAGGAATGCTCGTCACCCCCATTGATCTTCTGTCTTACGAGGGAGGATGGGCATGACCGGGTGTCTCTGGCGTCCTCTCCAGGTGATGACTCCACAGGGACGAGGCACCGTTGCGGCTGCCGCGGTGGCGGCCACGGCCAGCATTGCTGGAGCCCCGACTCAGTACCCCCCAGGGCGGGGGACACCCCCTACCCCTGTGGGCCGGGCCACCCCCCCTCCAGGTAAGGAATTGACGGGTGTGGGTCTGGCAGCAGAGCATCATAGACAGGAACCCGGGACAGACGCCCACCTTCGCCTCCTGGCGTCCAGGGGCACGGCTTCAGGGTGTTTGAGTGGTGGATGGCGTCTCAGCCACCTTGGTTGCAGCTTTGTTGGTTCATATTTTTTGAATTTGTTGGTCATTCCTGCTGTTTTCCTGTCCCAGGCATTATGGCTCCTCCACCGGGTATGAGACCACCCATGGGCCCACCCATTGGGCTTCCCCCTACTCGAGGGACCCCGATCGGCATGCCTCCTCCAGGAATGAGGCCCCCGCCCCCCGGGATCAGAGGTGAGTTGGCTCCCAGGCCCCTGGATTCCAGGTGCGCCCCTGATGATTGTCTCATGCGGTCTTGTTTACCTTCCAGGTCCACCACCCCCAGGAATGCGCCCACCAAGACCCTAGGCTACTGTTGTCCTTAGTCTCTCTCTGCACTGTGTCTCGTGAAACTGTAGCGTGTTTGTGAGCTGTCCTGCCGCACTGATAGTCACTAATAAACGATAGAGCAACACTGAGGGCTGTGTGCATTCTCTTCTGTGGTTGGTTGAGGTCAGAGTGAAACGGGCTTTGCTCCCAGGACATGGTGTTGCGTTCCAACCTTCGCGCTGTGCCTTGGCGATTGTAACAGCCTCCACACGCATGCGTTCACGTGGTGAGCTGAGAGGCACACGGTCTCTGTACCTGTTGGGCCCTACATACCTGCAGGGCTGGGATGGGCTGAGGGCTTGTGAGGCCACGGAGAGAGGAAGCTGACGGATCACGCCTGTGGAACAGGAAGCCCTCCCTGGTCTGCTTATCCAGAGCTCTGCCCATGACCAGTGGCCATGATCTGGGAGTGACCACCACTTCCTGCCCACAGGTAAGGACTCACACTTCAGCTTTGGGCAGGCTGGGTAGGGGGCAGGGGCTCTTATTAGAGCAGCGGTTCTCAACCTGTGGGTTGTGACCCCTTTAGGGGTCGAACGACCCTTTCACAGGGGTCCCCTAAGACCATTGGAAAACATATATAATTACATATTGTTTTTGTGATTAATCACTATGCTTTCATTATGTTCAATTTGTAACAATGAAATTGGGGGTCACCACAACATGAGGAACTGTATTAAAGGGTCGCGGCATTAGGAAGGTTGAGAACCACTGGTCTAGAGGGACGTGGTGCTCCTCAGACCCTAAAGGACGGTGGGCACCACGTCCATTGTGTCACTTGGGTTCCATGATGGAGCCCAGAGGTGTGAGGCATCTGGTTTGCAGTTGAGGAAAAGAGCTAAGAAGGAACCCGGGTGGTGTCAGACTCTGCAGTTATGGACATATAATTACTTACAAAGGGGACAGGGAGGAATCTGGGCTTAGACTGCAGTTAGGAAACCGGGGACCCTCGATGTGTGACTGGTGAATGGGATGAATTCAGCAACGCGGGACTGGACTGACTGTGTGTCTGCTTTTTCCAGCACAGGCTTGTTGGCCTCCGTCACCTTTTCACACAAGACTAAGGGAAGCGTCAGGGCCTGCGGACGGACTGCCAGGTAAGCAGCACACTGAGCCCGGCTTCCTTCTCTCCGCAGCCAAGAGAGCACACCTCTGATTCGACATGTGACTGGTGTGTGAAGACCCGTTTTCTGGGCGCTCTGCTCCAGGACTAACGGGGGGGGGGTGGGTTATTTGTGCGAGTTCAGGACATCTGACTGCAGGGAGTCTGAAGCAGGGGGCCTTTAGGTTTTGGCCTCCGGTCACACAGCTACTGGAGGCAGACATCTTGAGATGCCAGCCAGAACCCTGCTGCTGGGGAGGGTCTTCTGTCTGTAAAATCACACAACACTTTGAAGTACAGGCTGTTACCATAGATTCAAGGACGAGTCTGCCTTAAGGCTTTGTCTGTTGGGTATTCTGTGTTTAATTAACTGATTTTTTTAAATAAAAGGATGTTACAGCCCGACAATGCTTCAACCTCTGGGCAAGGGCTTGTGTTCATTTTCATTAAAACTTTATTGCTTTCATCAGGTAGGTCATTACAGTTCATTATAGTTGCTACTGAATCATGAGGCTTGCAAGGCTATCACCCGTTGATGCGTTGAAAGGTTTTTTTTAGTCATAGTTGCTGCCTACTTACCTTGGGCCTGGCACCCAGCAGTAATGCTGAGGATTTGAGTTGTATGAAGCCAGTGGACAAGGCGTGACACAGGGGGAGGGTGTGTGTGGCACAATACAACCTGTCCAGGCTCACGCAGTCCATTTCTGCCCCACAGTGACACCTGGACAGGAGGGATGCGACCCGTGTCCTGCTGAGCCAGCTCTGCCACACCTGCCCTTCGGACAGACCCGCCCCCTCCAGGTAAAGTAACCGCGCACAGAAACGCCCGCGTGCATTGCAAAGGCCGTGGCTAGGTTCATGATGACACAGGACCTTGTCTGAACTTCATGATCTCAAAACATGAGCTTGGATATGTCACTGAAATCTAGTCATGCGCCTCACACACACCTAGCACACCTGGTCAACAGGAAGTGTTGGCTTGACATGACAACTTAGCATACTTTCCATGGCAGTTAACACACGTTCGTTCCTCAAACATCTTTCTGTACAACCTTCACACACATTTCAAGCGCATCCTTTTCTCTTCTGTACATATTTGTGCTGTTGGAGGCAACAAAGGAGGCCCACCCACGGACCCCGACAGGCACACGTGCGGAGGGAGCGGATGCCAGGCATGGAGACTGCCCCACCCGCCTGGGATGGAACATCGACACCCCCGTTCTCGGGATCTAGTGGTGGCGGGGTGAAGGCCTCACGCTGACCAACATGCCGGCTGTGTGGAACATGCCTTCCCAAGGACACAGCTCCTGTTTGAGGACAATTAATCTTGTCTGTAACCTAGGTCAGCGATTTTCAACCCATGTGCCCCGAAATTTTTAAAGCATGTAACTCACCCTCCCTTAAACCATCAAATAGAAAATTATAAGAGTCCACACAACAATGGCGGTTCAGTATGAATTAATCAAAATTATACTTATCTTTAGGTCAAATTGGCAAAAATTGTATATTTTGGTGGCCCACTGAATTTTACTAATTGGCTTACGTGCTATGAGATTGAGAAAGGTTGAAAATCACTGCCCTAGGTTTAAGGTCTCACACAGTAAATGTTCAAGAAATGTGTGGCATTAAGTAGTTCTCCAATGTTAACGGTACAGCCCTTACAAACCTTCAGTGACTCCCCTACAGTGGAAACGTGTGATGACAATCCAGGCCTGTCCCACCCAACTCCATCCTCGATCTCTAAAGGAGCCCCCTGCTCCCAGACAGGGCCGAGCTGTGGTGCCTGCAGGGACGGACACCTGTAGCCATTGTAGCCCGGAAGTCCTGCTTGAGGTCACAGGGCAGTGAGAGGACGTGGCTGGCTTAGGGAGACGTGACGCCTCGCAGAGCAGCAGCATTTGACATCAGTCCCAGGACACTGATTCTGGAGTGAGCGTGGGTGAATGAATGCCTTCAGGAAGTCAGGCTCCAACAACAGGCACTGGGCAGTCAGGAGGGACATTAGGTGTGGCTGCCATTTAAGTCTCAAGTTGTAGTGGAAGAAGCCTAACGTGACTTCAGTCTTCAGCTAAAGGACATAGCTGTGCCCCATGGCTCCTGCCTTCAGTAGCATCTTTGTCATTCAGCATCTTAGTGAGCTTCCCTACCTGATTTCGGCAGCTTTGTCTTTATGTAGCATCTTTATCTTATTGCAGCTTCTTCATCTTTATGTAGCATCTCAATCTGATTGCAGCATCTTTGTAGCATTTTATCTTGTTGAGCATTTTTGTCATAATGTAGCATCTTTATCTCATTGCAGCTTCTTAGTCTATGTAGCATCTCGATCTGATTGCAGCACATTTGTCTTTATGTAGCATCTTTACCTTATTGCAGCTTCTTTGATTATAGCTTCTTAATCTTAGTCTTTCTGCAGCATCCTTGTCACTTAGCAGCAAGAATAAAGGTAAAATATAGGGTTCCCAATATGAGTAATTTGGTGACATCAGGAAAGGAGCTTGTGCTCTGGCCTCATGGTGACATGTGGGTGGCGTTCCCATAGCATTGGATTTCCTGTGGCAGGGTGAGCGCTTCTCTGAGACCCTCCGAGTCCGCATGCAGCATCTACAGACCTGTGGTCGGAGTGGGTTTCATCTGTTCAATCTGACTGACTTTCTTGACCATTCTCATTGACCTTTCCACCTTGATTTTTTTTTACACTTTGGAATACTTCAGATTTTCTCCCTGTAGCCTGGGTTCCTAAATTGGATTACAACATGTTAATGGAGGAGAGGAAGTTGTCTGTTCTTCCTCGTTACATCTGTCTGGTGATATTTGGTGTTCCACTTTTCAATTTTTTGGACAGTTGGCTTGGGGAAGTGGATTCTAAGGTATTTTCTTGTAAGACACCAAAGGTCTCAACTTGATTCCAACAGATTTCTGGGTGTTTCGTGGTCTTTGATCCCCATGTGTCACTTGAATGAAATTGCTGTCAAAGATGGCTGATGAGTCACTCACTCTTGTAGGCCAGGGCCTTCCTGGTGGTAGAAATGTACAGTCCACAGGCATAACCTTCAACCAGGTGCACATGCTGTTGGTAAGACGTGGGCTTGACTCATGATGAGCTATGTTGTCTGAAGTGAATGACGTGAAGGTCACCCGAATGAATACTCTGAAGTCCAGCCAAAGTGTCCATCCACGCACGTGGGCCGCACATTTCTTTAACATCCGTTTGTAGGCTGTACATTTCACCAGGCTTCCCATCAACATGGCAGGCGAGTCAGAGAGAGGAGGGCGCTGTGGGCTCTCATCCCCACCCACCACATCTGCCGTCTCACTTTGGAATTTCCCATCATGCATTTCAAGTGACACCCTCATGACAGCCTCACTGGTTCCTACCTTGGACCAGAGCTTCCTGAGCCCATGGCCCCAGCCCCTTGGAGCAGCTCCAGTCAGCACAGGAGCCAGAAAGTGCCAGTTGGTTGACACCTTGCTTTTGTCTGAGATGAGTTTACTTTTTCCACCTACACTCAGAGGGAGCCCTTTCATTCTTATCTTAGTAAGTCACCACCTTTTGCATCTTGGCAAGATGTAGATGGAGATTCAATTGTTGGCTCAGATTCAAGGGGGGGTAATAGGCGTTAGCAGTGGGTGAATCTGAGCCCAGGAGAGGAACGGTTTGCCAAAATGCCATGCATTCTTTGAAGGGGGTCTTCACGTCATTCTTTAACATCTGAAACATCTGTAACATCTGTCTTGTGTGAGTAATGGATCTTATGACCTGAGATTGACATTCTATGACTCAGTGCTTGTGCTTTGCTTGTAGTAGCTCTTGTGAGGGGTGAATAGTAATTAAACAGGTATTTAGGAAAACCTGTATAAAAAAGTTACCATGGACAGTTGAATGTATTAAGACCTTATCCTTAAATAGTCACCTTAATTTGTTAATGCATGTGTGTGAGTGTGTGTAAATAGTGTGGGTGTGGATAGTGTGGCGCATGAACAGCTTTTAGTGGAAAGCTGTTGGGGTTCCAATTAATTACATTCTTTGTAAAGTAAGTTAGACAAGTATTTTCACAGTTCTTTACCTTGTTTAGTTCCAGTTGTCCTACCAGATTTTTTTTTTATATTTACTACCTCAGAGACTTGCTTGGTTTCTCTTAGAGAATTGAGAGAAGTTAGATGCCCTTTCTACTAACTGAATTACAGTAGGAACATCAGTTGAGTGAGAAAGGAAAGGAGGGAGTTAGCGGTCTTTTGACCTTGGACGTTGGGTGCCAGCTAGGATGGTCCTGACTGCTGAGAGGACACTGGTCATGCTGGCTGAGAACCATCCAGAACATCCATCCGTTCTTGAGGGTCACATGGCCTAGAGAGAATCCCTACACAGCATTGGAAAGGCGGAGATGGAGAGGGAATGAATGGTGGGGAGGGGAGCGCAGGGAGGAAGGAAAAAGGAGGGTTTAAAGGGAATCTATCAGGTGTGAAGGGAGACTTCCTTTGTGAGTCTTTGAACATCAGAAGGCTGTGTGGGGAGGTTAGGAGTTGGAGGTACCACTGACCTGCCACTGTTTGATTCAGTGCCTCGTTCTCAGCCAGCCTGGATGGGGGAGCTCCCAGGTCCTTTCCTGAGGCGACTGTGTAGCTGGTTAGTAGAAGGTGAAGGGGTTTGCATCTGTAGCCAGCTGAGATGAGACCAGGCTTGTCTCCAACCTTAGTGCACATGAGAATCAGTCTGCGGGCTTGTACAGTTTGTCCGTGGCTGATTCAGTAGGTATAGGGCGGAGAAGGTGACATGCCCTGTTCAGGCACCACACAGAGAACAAATAGCTGGGTTTGATTCAGAATTCAATAGGCATTATCTGACAGCACTGTTGTACAACTGCTAATCTACATGGGATTCATTGCGGAATATTTAAAATTGACTATGGGCATTTAATTTTGAAAGAAATTGGTTGCTTTTTTTTCTAGAAATAGAACCAATTAGGAACCAAATTTATAATTGGCCGGACACTCTGAAAATTTGAGAATGGGAATCCTTTTATCAGAACAAATTGCTAAAATAAATTTAAATTAGGTACCTGATTGGAGGAAGCAAATTAATTAATTTTGATAATGTCTCTAATAATGAATCAACTACCCAAATATTGACCTCAATTTGGATGAAACTGAACAGTAAAGTTTCCAGAAAACAGTAGTATTCTCAATAGCATGTTTATCTCATAGACATGGTAATTTTTGCCAGATGCTTCCACTTTGGGGGAGTGTTTTATCCAGTTTGTGTTCTGTGTTGGTTACTGAACTGTGCACAACTTTATTACTTTGCATATGGTTGTTGTATTGTAAGCATCCACTCCTGCATCATTTAAAATGGCCATAAACTGGCAATACCAATGAGGTAATGGGTGATGCTATTTTCTAGTGGCAAATTTCAATATGTATTTAATAGCTTGGCTGTAAATATCCTGGTGGCAATATTTGGTATTGATATTGGACTTTTGTAAATATGCTTCTAAATGGGAATAGTGTTACAATGGACTGTTCACTGTTAGTGGCAAACTTTGACATGTTGCCGCTTTAGTCGGGTTTCTCTGTACTGGGAGGTGCTGAGGAGTATGGATGTAGAGAGACTTTGCAGTGACTGAAGAAGGAACCCAGACTAGAAACAAAGAGACCTCTTCTGTGGCTTGGACCGAATACAAAATGAGCAATCCTGTTGTTTTAGAAAAGTGTGACTTAGGAAGGGACTCCGATGAAAGCAGGGAGCCCTCTCTTCTGTGGTTGGACTCAAAAATGAGCAATCATGGAGGATTTTTTAAAAAATTGTGACATGAAGGACCTCAACCTTGAAACAAGGAGACCTCTCTTCTGTGGTTTGGACTCAGTAAAATGAGCAATCATGGAAGACTTAAAAATGTGACCTATAAAGGAAAGGGACCTAAATGTGAAACAAGAAGACCTCTTTTCTGTGGTTTGGACTCAAATGAGCAATCATGGAAGACTTAAAAAATTGTGACTTGTAAAAGGACCTAAATTTGAAACAAGGAGACCTCTTTTCTGTGGCTTGGACTGAAGATAGGGAGAAATCCCACAGGATTTTTAAAAAACTGATGATTTCTATGAGGATAAGTTATGGCATTGATATGGATTTTCTTATTTTTGTAGGATGGCAAAGAATGTCATATTTTTCTAATTATCTTTTGCTTAACGTGTAACTCTCTGGTGAGCATGACTGAATGGACCGGGTGTTTCTCAAACTAGTCAGTTAAGGTCCTAGTGAGGCCAAAGGAATATTTAAAATTTCCCATCCCCCCAAAATATGAATCACAATGAGGAAACTGAAAATTAAACACAACTCACTGAGCAATATTTTTGTCTTAGATGGCAACATGGTAAAGTTTGATAATATGTTTACAAGAAAGAATGGATTGACTTTTCTGATTGTTTTATGGAGAGAAAAATATTAATTCATTGGCCTTAAAGTCATTACTACTCTTCTCGCACCAAGACCTCGTGTAATTAATTGGCATTTAGTATGGATCTGGAGGATAGATTGTATGTCATATTGGGTATGTTGTCAGTTATTGGGTAAAATATATTCATAAAGAAACAAAAGATAACTAAGTTTTAGGCAAAATTTAGCTTCCACTTTAAATCTAAACTCTTCAATACAGTCCGGACACAACGGCATTTGATTGTGCCTCTGCTGGGTGCAGAGAATTGGGTGACACCATCTTAAATTCAACTTGCCTGTCCATCAGCCAGAGGGATACTCACATTTCAATTCAGGCTTCTGTGGAAAGGAAAAGGGTTTTTGGAAAGTCATCCGTCTGTTTCAGTCTAGCTCACTAGAGAATAAAACTTACCTGTTTAATAAAAAAAAAAAGCAGGTGAGCATTTGAACGAATCTCTTGTGCAACCTCTTAGAGATCAAGAGTTCATTGTTATTGAGAGTATACAACTGTTTACTTATTAGTGGTAACCATGGACGTAGCCACATAAAATTATGTAAATACATATATCCTTGTTTAGCTTTTGTAATGTATATAGCATCTTCTACAACTTGCTGTTAAAGAGAACACGTGGAACAGTTGTTTTTAAAATGACAAGACCATGTCTGGATCACTCCAAGAAGATTCTGGCCAGTGACCATGTGAAGACACTCCATGCCATTGTAAACATCAGTTCAGAACCACTGCATGATACCTTTGCCTGAATTTTAGAGAATTGTAGAAAGCTGCTGCCAACGAGGGGGTGACCAAGGGGCAGGCATTGGACTCAGTTGGGGCCTGAGAACAATGGACAAGGGTTTCTTGCCAAAAGTAAGAACCTGCGTAGCCAGGTGATTGCTGTTCAGGCTCCGGTAGATGGCTGCTCCGCACCTACCTTTCCAGTTGGCAGTTTGACCTCTTTTAACTTTTTTAAACTTCCAGCCGTCGCCTTACTTCTGTCTTCAGATTCTCTCTGACATGACGAACCACATCATGTTCCAACAGTATTATAAATAAGCAATAATCAGAAGAGGGGAAAGATTCCATAGACTGGTATTTCCAGCATCCTTTGCCACTCTGAAAACCGGTCATCTTCCACTTGCCATCTCTGAAGATTTGGATTCTCAAAATCTGGGATGTTCGTTCACTCAAACCCTCTGGTCCCCCTAATCTCCAGAAGTTTGTACAGCAAGAAACAATGTTACTGAAAGCCAGGATGATGTACAATGGATGAGCCAGAGATCCCAGCCTGAGGAACTGCCCTGCCTGAGCTAGGGACTCCTGTGGGCATCTCACCCTCATGCAAACTGAAGGGGTCTTTGGCCAGATCAAGAGCCATTTTCCCAACCTAATACGCATTGATGCCTGGGCCAAAAGCATATAGGGACAGCGTCCTCATCCCGTATTCCTCCCCACAAAGGTATGTGAAGGACAACATCACATAGACACAGCCAAACCCGCAGGAATCTGGAGAGGAAGGACACACAGCACATTCTAATTGAGCTAGAAGCTTTACCAGCCACAAAGACAAGAAACACAGATTGATACTGTTTTGACCGTCGGTCTTACATTTCATTGGAGAAAATATTTTGTGATGGGGAGTCTCAACTCCCCTTCAGAAGGTCTACCATTGAAAGCTGTGTATCTGAGACACTTGTATAGATGCCTGATGCACAGGTCTCCAGTTTTCTCCAATTTGCATTTTAAAAACAACTCAGAATCTAACCCTGCTAAGTACTTTATTGCCCACATAAAGCTGAACAATTGATGGACATTGGTATGGACAATGTTGTTAAAATGTAAATAGGAAATACTCAGTGACTGATGAATGTTAACGAACTGTTGTTGATGTGAGGAGACCAAGAGAATGAAATTCAACATATAATGGTTTCATTTTCTTGTATTTTATTCTTTGTTTACGTTAACTTCCTTGGAATATAAACTCAAGCACAGAGGCCTCCATTTGTAAACAAATCTGTTATTTTTGGATATTTTTGTAACGGTTGCTGTGATATTCAAGCTGGTTTCCTAGGGAAGTTTCTAATAACACATTTAGTAAAATTTTCTGTATATAGAGTTTTTTAAAGCTATACACAATGCTGGACTCATTGTTGTGTGCTCAGGGATAGCAGGAAAGGAAGTAGCAAGGCATTAGATATCCATGTGTATAAAAAAGCCAAATATAGTTGCTTTGCGCCATTTCCTAATGTATTGTAATTGTTTTAACAAGGAGTTTGGTTACGTGTATAGAAGTATTTTAATACATGATGATGAAAATAGAACTGTCAGAATACCTCTGAAAGATGTACATATTAAACCATTAGAATGGACGATTGCTGTGGGACTGGGAGAGGGGAGGTTTTGTACACAGCTATCACAGACATGAAAGGCTGCTCTGTGGGTGTAGATATTCCTGTAAATGGTCTTTATTTTGAAATGTATATGTTGCTCTTTGCTTATTACCAAGTGTTATTGCTGTTTATATATATATATATATATTAGGACTGTTGCGCCATGTTACCAAAGCCATCTTACAGGGATGGCTTACCTCCATGCTCACACGTCTACCTTTAGTTTGTAAATTTTTTGTTTTGCCAGTTGCATTATTAAATGGCCTCATTATTAATTTATTTATGATAACATTTTGTTATAAACAATGTTATTAATGCCTAACATGCAATTTTCAACATGTATATACGTCATTGTAAATTTGTTATGAATATGATCAACTTAATGGGATTAGAAGCATTTTTGTTTACCAAAGAGATGTTAGATGTAGCCTCTCTGTGTTCCCTGCATCATTAGGCTCCATTTTCATGTTGTCCTCAGTGGTGAGCATAGTGTAATGCTCTGTTTTATGACATCATCATGCTGGAAATTTCATTGCAACTGTAGGTCTGCTTTCATTGATGGTTTTCAGATATATTTGTATACAAATAGGGCAGGATTTTTTAGCATAACTTTGAGAAATCTCTACATGTGGTATAAAACAGCATAGGTTAGAAAAGTTCATTTGCCAGTGGAAATTGACATAATAGTGAATTGTTTTTAGAACTTATTTCTAGTTGTATAGGTGATTAATGTTTGATGTGGGACGTTAGCAATGGAATATATTAAACCCAAGTTCATTATATGTGGGCTGACAAAAGAATGTGTTTGTATTATATGTATATAGTATACAGTTACACGTTTTTTAAAGCAATAGGAACTTTTATATTTGCATGTCTTGTTTTTAGATTATTATATATATCTTTTTGCTTTAAACTTTTAGTTCTTTAAATATAATGATTGTTTACATATTCATATGTGTGTATACATATACACATATATACATGTACATATGTGTATATTAGTGTACAGAACTTTTTTAAAGTCATAGGACAAACAATGGAAGATACTGTGACGCTGCTAGCTATATGGTGGACAAATGTTTTGTTTTATAACATCTGCATTGATAGACACACGTGACTTCTGTTTTGGCAATTAAATTGCTATACTATGTCTAGTCGACATGTATTGTTGGGGGGGGGTTATTGCCTTTGTGTTGTATTTTTTTTTAGTAGATATTCTTTGTTAAGGTGTAGAAATCATTGTCATTAATGTGTAAATGTGTAATTTTTTCCTACCAATCTAGTTTTTGAATGTTAAGTTCTGGAGCCGAGCAGGGAGGTATCTGACTGCTGTATGTATAATAGACAAGTTTCTTACCACATCTTCACTCCTAGGTTTGTAGAAATACCCTGTTTCCACGCGCCCCCGCGCGCGCACACACACGCACACACACAGTACATAATGTTAATGTTGAACTAGGGTTAAAAAATGTTTGTTACCAATAGAAGTGTTACTTCACCCCCTAGTGTTTGATATCACTTGGGGTGAATGGGGGTGATTAATCTGACCAGACCTTTGTTTTTCTACCATATACTCTTGTACATGTGCCGAGATTTCTGTCATTTAAAAATTTTTAAATCTATTTCACCTGAAATTATAGCACATATGCTTTTTTTTGCTTGTTGAAATGGTTCACCAGTCCTGCCAATTTTAATCTTCATACTGTGTGTATTTATCTTTAAAACGCCTGTTCATTGCTGATATACTTTCTAATATCACAACCTATTAGTATAATTAGACATTTTTCTCCGAATGTTGAACAGGGGTAGTGGATGTTTCTGACCTCATCTCTAATACTCTCTTCATGTCTTTCTGGTTTATGTCTATGACATGGACTCTGTCTATTGCATTGCATGTGGACCACCCACAGTCAAATCCTCTCCCATCACCATCGATTTGGCCCCCATTTTCCTCGACTACCTCTCCACCCACTTCCCAACAACATGGATGGACCTTGAGAATAGGATGCTAAGTGAAATAAGTGGAAAGTATTTTTACCTCACATTTTTATTTAGACGTAAAAGTAGATAGTAACCATGAAATTGATTGTCATTTTATAGAAAAATACCTCAATTTAAGGGCCATGTTGTTATATATTATTTTCCCAGATGTACTGAGGTTCAGGATGGAATTCTTTTTTCTAAAGAACATTTACAGAATCTCTAACTATATAATCCTGTAAATATTTTATTGTATATTTGTTCCTACCATTGTCTTTCAATAATAACACGGCAATAAAATTAAATGTACAAAATAATTCATTTCCCCCAACATGGAAGAATAGTCTGGCCATCCTAACAAGTATAAATTTAAAATTTAAGATACAGTGTGAATTTGGTGTTTTTTGGATGTGCCAAGTATCCCAATATGTTTCCATTATTTTTTTATTAAGATTTTTTTGGAAAGCGGTTTAAAATTCATAGCAAATTGAAGGGAAGGTACAAAGATTTCCCATATACCTCAGTCCCCACACACATGCAATAATCAACCCAACACATAGGGTAATCTCATGCCTTTTACATCCATAAGGTGACTTTGACATTGACATATATCCATTTTGATATTTGGGTTATTTTTCTTACCCTAAATCCTCTGTACTCTGCCTACTCATCCTTCTGTGTTTTTTGCTCTCTCTCTTTAACATTGAAGGTATTAGTTGCTTCGTTGAACGGATTTTATACTACCTCTTGGAACTATACATAGTTGTGTATGTGTTCCCTTGGTCGCATGACAGTATTCAAGACAACTTTGTAAATAACAGGCAGATACACTTTTTAATTTCTAACATCTAGTCTTTCCAGATGTATATATTCTCTCAACGTATACTCTTGTAAATAATTCATTGTACAATTCCATGCTTTTATATTCTTGGGCTGAGTGGTGGTGGCTTAGGCTATATATATATCCTTGCTCTGTGGATTTGCTAGGGGGCGGGTAGAAGGGAGTGGCCCTACACTTTTTGAAATAAGGCATTGTTTAGTGTTTGTTCTACATCAAAGACCTCAGTCCTCACTTTGTGGTTGTGTAGCTGATAGGGCATTATGTATTTTAATCATGGGAAATGTATTTTATAGGACTTACACAGCCACAGTCAGGACAATTTTGTAAATAGCAGGCATATATATATATATAAATACACATCATTTTAAACATCTAGTTTTTCTAGATGCACAGGGAGATTCGCAAAATTTTGTAAATATTTCATTGCATACTAGCGTAAGTTGGCTTCTGGTATGTTTTGGCAATGTAATAGGTGGTTAGTGAATATCTGCTTCCTAGGCTGTGCTAGCGTTCTGGTGTTCAGTGAGTTCCTGGGAGAGGAATGCCAAGATGGCCTACGAATCTTCATCTTCTTAGGCTCTCGAGTATAAGGAAAGGCTACACCGGGGATGGGTAACAGCAGTGACAACCAGACTTGTATTGTGAAGCTTCAGGGAGAAAGATAGGTGACAAGAACTGTCCCTTTGTCACATGCAGATATTCTCAGTGATGTGATCAAACATGGCAGCAACGCACATTGCTAAAGGAATTGCTATGTTGCTAAGCTAGATAAATATTAACACATATGTAACATTAGTTTTAGGGGTATAGGTCTGATAATGCTTTTTTTCTCATTTATTAGCTTCTTGATTTTCATTTTGCTATGAAAGTTATTGTATTCTTACACTTATAAAAGCCAGCCTCATGTTACATGTAAATGTGTTAATTTTGTATGAGATAATTAAGCAACTCTATATCAATGTTTTCATCTATATGCATCTGTATGAGAGAATTACACTAGTTATAAATATTTTAATTCTGAGACCTCTTTAAAATTTTTTCTGGTGAATTGTTATATTTGAATGTCATGATTAATATTGAAAGTGTATTGTATCTCAGTTGCCTGTAATGTACATTATGAAAGTTTCTTAGAAAGGTGGTCCAATCCAGTATTGATTAAAGTATAAATCATCTCTGAACAGCAGTTTGGCAATGACAATCAGAATTGAATGCTTAAAAGTGACTGCTGTGATTTTATCTATTCTAAATCAAATTTACAAAGCTGAAGGTACATTATAAATTGAAACATTGAACAACTGAAATACACATTAGTGAAAAATATAGTAATGATTATAGCTTACTTAAAGAATATAATCTAACCACTGATAAAACATTCTTATGTGGATGTGAGTTTTAAATTGATACTTAAAATTGTCATTTTTGAACAAAGATCAACAAGTGTATATTGACAAGAGGTGTGTCCATGTGCCTCTAGTTCATATACCAGAAAAGCTAAGGGCAATGATTCACCATCAGTGTCGCTATCCCGGTGATGGCTTTGACACACTTTGGAATTTTTGTGCATGTGCTAGTTAAACAATAAGGCATTGCTCATCCATGTATTTGTATGTTGCTACATGACAATCTAAAGTGACTGAGTATGGAAGAGAAAGTTGTCTGGACGACTATGGCAAAATCTCAGTGTACAGACACGTGAATGGAAGGACTGCTTCTACTTTGTGCATTCAAATTTGTAAAAGGTATTTCAAAAGGAACATTTCAACAACAGGAATTTTAAAGGCACAGCTAATTTGTGCCTGTCGTCCATCTTGCCTATCAACATCTTGGGCATGTGTGGTGATGGGTCCGGCCTTGTATTGCCATTGGGCCTGATTAATGCTTTTAAGAGATCAAGACAGCATGTGACTTAAAGACTAATGCAGCACAGAGCTGTACCATGTGAGGAGGAGGAAGGAGGAGAATCGATTACCCAAGGAGAGAAGAAGGGAGACGACGAGACTGCAGGTATGTGCCAAACAGTTGCATTGGTGTTGACAGGGCAAGAATATTCGTTGCAACTATTGAAAGGGTGGGAGTAATTAGAGGTTGGACTATTTTTTATTGTAGTTGAGTGTCAGAAGGATTTCAAGTAGGCCTTTATGAATTTACATTCAGACTTTGCACAAGAGCATTCAATATTCTCTACATTTGTGCTAAAAGTGCTTGGGAGAGGTGAGAGTGAAAAATAGTTAGTCTGTTCAGTCATGTATGTTGGTTAGCCCCATTCAACATCCCTGACCATCACAAATTTATTCTACTGTGTGTCCTGCTATCTAATTTGTATCTAAACTTGGCTCTGTTGTCCACTTTGCAGGAGTGAAAAGGAGGAAAGGAAAGTGAATTTGTGACAAGCGAGGACAACCAACATCAGGAGCCTTGGTCTTTCAGTGGAGCTCCTTGTTCCCTGAGGCTCAGCTGAACCACAGGTAAGAGGTTCTGGAACAAGAAGTGCTGTTTTAGGATGAGGCTCTAGCTGGGCTTAGAAAAACCTTGGGCACCTGGGGATTTCCAGCCCTGCCTGAGAATTAGGGAGCAAATAGCTTAAAAAGGTCATTTTACCGAAGAGGAGGTGTGCGCCTTGCCTTACAGTGTTTCTCTCCCCTCAGGAGATGATGGTTCCTGAGGATGACACCACCGCCTCGAGTCCTCACGCAGTGCGCCCCACTTCCATCCCTGGCCCAGGAGCGTCCTGGAGACATGCGTGTAAGACACACTGTTGATCACAGTTTGAACTGCCCTGTGATGCGATGCCACTGAGGTTCTAACCTGTTCTCCTTGCCTCCCGTGGCCCCAGGGGATGCCGGAACAGACTTGCTTCTGCCACCATCTGAAACACCCGCCAGCCAGGCTTCAGAGCGGCCCAGCGGTGCCTCTCGGGCGTGGCCATGGACACTCCCTGCCAGCCTGACAGGACGAGCACGCGTGTCCAAGGTGACCCAGCGGGTGATGGCGAGAACTGTAAGCAGCATGTTGACTGTTGTCCTTGTTGCTGTGGGACTGGCACCAGGAGATGGAAAGCTGGAGACCTTAATCCCGAAGCCCTGGACGTGCCGTTGCGAGGCCTCCTCCAGGGCTCCCATATATTTCTATTTTACTTATTATCATAGCGTAGATTTAAAATGTATTCATTAAAAATAGTCTTTTTTTTTTAGATTTTAGGCAACATAGAAATTTGTTAAGTATGTAGTTATTACTTTATGTACCTTTGTTTCCCTTTTAATTTTACCCTGCCCCATGTCATCTAATGTCTTTTTATTTTTCAATTAGATTACATTCAATATTACTTTGTATTAGTTTCAGGTATACTCAAAAGTAAAGTGTCCCCTCAATGTTTCAGGTACCCACCAGGCCCCATATATACGGATCACAGTACAAACCGACTGTACTCCCTACGCTATCATCTACTAATAGAGTTAGTGCGCACCCTCGTGGTGCTGCTCAGACATTGTAGACAAGTAGTGTTTTAGGCGCTTACACTGGCCACGCATCTTCTCTGCATTAAACATGCTTTTATATCATTCCTTTTGAATTTATTCAACTAACTTGTTGAAAAAATTCCAATGAATTGGAATTACTCTGGCTAAAAATACTCAATTTATATATAGACTCAAAAGTTAGCTTTCCCCTCATTCTAGGTCCTTCTCTTTATTCTGCCTCCCCCTGTTTGAGACTTCAAACTGTGCAACACTGTTCAAAGCTGTAGACTATTAGGTGTCATTTTCTTTATTCTGCTCACTGACACTGCAGAGAAGTTATTCTTAATCACTGCTCAGCAAAATCATATATGCTCACTGCTTAATCATCACTTGTACTTTTTCATTTCATTTTTCCAGCTTCCTTGCATTATTATAGTGTCACTGGATTTTAAGAGCTTGTTTATAACTAAAGATGTTAACCATTTCTCATGCATTGCAAATGATATACCATGTTTTTTGTTACTATTTTACTCTGCTGTTTTACTTTTTGGTTGTATCAAACTTGTGCATTAAATATAATCATATTCTGTTTTATGCCTTTTGTGTTGGTGTTTTTCTTTTTATAAACATGTTTACAATAGGATCATACATTTTTGTCTGTACTTCCTTCTACTTTTCATCACTTTTGTCATTTTATTTCTTTTTACACGAATCATTGCGACAGTTTTAAAGCATTACATGCTGACATTATGCACCTTGACCTAAACCGTTAACCACTGATTTTAAATTCTCTATCGTTGAAATCCAAAAATTCAATCTGTTGACTCCGTGTGTCTGACTTTCTATTGATGCTTCAAAATTACTGATGCCTGTATTCTTATCTAGTCTATTGAGTTCTATCTCATTTCTTTTCTTTTTCAGAATATGCCCTGTCTATACTCGCACTTTTTCTGTCACTTGATGCTTAAAATTATTTTGCAAGTTGGGGAAACATGCAATTTTATTTCATTTGCACCAAACTAATTAGATTAACTAGGAGACAATAATCTTTTAAGTGAGACTTCCTATACAACTACAGGTATGTCTTTCAATTTTTAATCAATTTGATACGTTGGCATACTGCTATTGTAGATTTTATTGTTGCCCATTTCATATAGTTATTTTCTTACTGTTATACAAAAGCCATTTGTGTATACTGGTGGCATGTCATTAATTCCAAAATTAGTATATTCTTTTCAAAGTACCTATGTATGGGATTTTAAAAAATACATCCCAAGTACAATCTGCACGTGCACTTATATTTTCCCATCTCCCATCCAAGAAATAACATCCAAGACCTAGTTTTGTATATTGTATATTACCCTTTAGGGATGCCCGTCTTTCAAGCTTAATCATCAGGCAACCTGCTGAAAAGTAGAAATTAGTGATATCGAGTATCACAGAGATGAACCCAGTACCACCTATAACAGTGATGGCGAACCTTTTGAAAAATCAACCAAAAAAAATGAGTTCATGTGTCACCTCTGACACGTGTCATAGGTTCGCCATCACTGACCTATAATATGCTGTGTTATGTGTTCAAATCAGCCCGTGAATCAAGCATTCCATTCCATTTTGTGTGTTAATTTATCTTTCTTTGACTTTGCAAACGTCCTTGGGTGTTTTTTTTCTTGATTTTTGTGGAGGAAATCAGGCCATTGGCCCTGTAAAAACTACATGTCTACCTCTAGATGGCATCCCTGTGGCTGTATTAAATGTCTTGCTCCATTCTCCGTGGTAGTTTTAAATGGTTTACTGGACTGGTTAATTCTTTCACCATTGGTTATAGGAATATTATAGGAATACATCGCATTGTAGTTTATTATAAGGTCATTCCTGTATCACATCGTGTTTTGTATCAACCTTTCACTTATGAAAGGTTTTCATTTAAAAAATCATAGCATCTTCATTATTCCCTCTAAATAAGAGTAAAATATTCATATGATTAATTTCAACTATCAAAAATATAAATTTAAAAGGATATATAGGATGAATGCTTTCCCATTATTAACTATAGTATATTGAATTTGATATTAGTGTCCCAAGGTATTTTGCTAATATAATGCAATTAAAAAATTAACAGGATAAATTTATGAGGTTCACTTATATAGCTTGTAGCATAAAATTAATTTTAATCCCCTTTAGATGTAAATAAAGCAAATAGTATTTGGTTTTTATTTACCTTTTATCTACCTAAATATCAAATAATAGGATTAGGGCTGTCAACATTGAGTTCCTAGCTCATGAATGTGGCCACTCTTTGATTTTTTTTTAAGAGTTTTTAATCTTTTATTTTTTATTTTTTTATTTTATTGATTTTTTTACAGAGAGGACGGGAGAGAGATAGAGAGTTAGAAACATCGATGAGAGAGAAACATTGATCAGCTGCTTCCTGCACATCTCCTACTGGGGATGTGCCCGCAACCCAGGTACATGCCCTTGACCGGAATCGAACCCGGGACCTTTCAGTCCGCAGGCTGACGCTCTATCCACTGAGCCAAACCGGTTTCGGCCACTCTTTGATTTATATCTTTATAATATCCTTCTGAGGGGAGTAAAAGTAGTTATCAGTCTCGTGAGGACAAAAGAAATACATTCAAAGAGTTCCGAAGTATTAAGTGATTTATTTATACACAAACAGCTAAAAAAAGGGGGCCTGGCCTAGCTGACCACAGCACCTTTTTCTGGCCTTGGTAAAACTTGGGGAATTCCTCCAATACTGAGAGCAGGTTATTGAGGTAGGACATAAGACTTGTATAGAGTAGGAGTGGAAGAGGTGTTGGCTATAGATGCCAAATGTTAAAAAAAATAGTAAATGATGTAATACTTTACAAAACCCAGAAGTGGATAATTGCATGAGAAAATAAAGACCAAGTTATCTGCAATCATGGCGGGGGAGACGATAGACAAATCAGGAAAGATAAATTTAATATATAGTCAAGATACAATGAACTCGGCTCTCAGATTTACAGTAATTTCAGGTGTTTGATGGCTTGAGCCCACAAAATCGTGATGGTGCGAGTGTAACATGTAAAGCTTGTATGCATAGGAATTTAGTATCCAGGGAGTTAATCTGCAGTAAATTCAGAGGACATCTTGTCATGTGCAGCCGTAAAAAAGATTGATGAGTATTTATAATTGTGAAGTTTGAAGGTATGAATGGAAATAGTGGTGCATTGGGACATAGGAAGTGAAGAGAGCAGAGTGGCATTTATGGTGCTTTTATCACAAACACTAGGATTACTGTGATGTCCTCAGTGCTGGCTGAGACAGTAGAGGGCTTGAAACTGTTCTGTCAAATACAAGGAGGGAACTAGTTGTGAATTGAATGTGTGATGATTATGGGATCAGAAACAGAAGGGAGGGATTTAACCAGGTGTTCAAGGTACTGGCTATTGAAAATGTGCCTAATTACAAAATTACCTTTTCGGGGGGATACTGGGAGTCGAGACGGGATACAGTGTCTCCATCAGGCTTTGACAATTCCTAAAACTAATTCAGAGCTCCTCTATGCTTTTATTTTCCCTCCATGATTTTTGGTAGCTCTTTTTAGGGTGATTAAAAAAATATATTGCAACTCATAAGGGAGATGTGGGAGATTCCATGTAATTTTACAGTCGGATGTCAAGAAGGTCATTGAAGTTAGCCCAATAGCCAGGCTGAAAAATTTTAAGGAAAGTCTGATTGGCTACAAGGCTAGAAAATGGATGCACAATTGGGTGGGTGTAAGAATGGATGAAACTATACCTCAGGGGGCCATTGGGTGCAAAGCTAAAGAATGAATGTTTTGAAAAGCAATGGGTGGCATGGATTAATGTGCGGATTGAGAGATTCAATATGAAGTGAAGGCGGAGATGGTTAGTGGTGTGTGGAAGAGGATGTTGAATGCGTGAATCTTGTCTACATACGGATTTTTATGTGATGACTAGATGGCTGGGTATTCATGGGTGAACATGGGAATCAGTGCACAGGTAATCTAATTGCATGAGTGATAGCATCATGGATGGTTTTCAGGTTGTCTGACAGGTGGTTTGATGAGTAGATTGATTGATGGATGGTATAAGAATTTCATCATTGAAAATAGACACAGTAATGTCACATATAAAGTTGAATGAAAAGTGGATGGGCTAATGAGGCGTACCAGTGAGTTTTTTATTTATAAAATACATTTAGTGATGAGGTTCTCAAAATACTGTGATAATAACAAAAAAGAAATCAAAGCTCTCCGTAGCAAGATCACAAGAATAGTTTTTCTCTTAAATGATTTTTTTAATTTAATAATGTGAGGTCTTCTAGGAGGAGGATCCAAGAGCGAACTTGACCTTGTGTTTTATGTTGGTGTATGCATATATCACATTTTCCCATATCTTCCACAGTTATAACTGAGGTGTTCCCAGTGTAAGAAGTGAGACATCTTAGATGCTGACATTTCTAGATCAATCCAAATTGTAGTTCTTGTTGATCAGTTCTGTGGATTTGATCTTCGAAAATGCTGGTAAGAATCAGTATCGGTGGTGTACTGTGTCTGTGATGTGCGGTGTGATGTGGAAACACAGTGTTCTGTTTGCAGTCGTTTAAAATCTAGAAGCGTCCGTGAATTCTGTAAAGCATAGGCTTGTCAAGTTGTAGAGTGCTTGCCAATCAGATACCCTAGAACCGTGGTCGGCAAACTGGCTCTCCAGCCACAGCTCTTTGGCCCCTTGAGTGTGGCTCTTCCACAAAATACCACGTGCAGGCGCGCACGTACAGTGCAATTGAAACTTCGTGGCCCGTGCGCAGAAGTCGGTTTTCGGCCTGGGCGAGTCTATTTTGAAGAAGTATTGTTGATATTTGGCTCTGTTGACTAATGAGTTTGCCGACCACTGCCCTAGAAGGTATAAAAAGCCTCTTATACCTCCTCACCATAGAATGTGATGCTTTCTAGGCAGAGACCATAACCTCTGTATGCTCAGTCAATGTTAAATTCATTCAAATGTTAAGATGTTTGGGGATGAACCCATGAATGGTGGATGGGTCGAGGAAGAGAAGGAAGGATATCAGGCAGGTGGGGGGAAAGGTCAAAGGGGGTTGTAAAAAGATAACCAGAAAGCAAATAGACAAGGAAGTGGCATTGGATGCAATTCGTATGGGCCTTAGTGACAGAAGTTGAGTTTTATTTCTCGGCGCATGAGTTAAGCTATGGCTAGTATTAGTGGGTAGGCAGACGTGGAGGAATGTTCCAGAATAT